GAAATTGGAATCTATGAGGAAATAAAAAGAAAGAAAGGGAGGTGAACAATGAGAAGAGAGAGAGAGAGAGAGAGAGAGAGTGCAAATAGTGATAGATTTTTTATGCGATATGATTGTGTTTGTACTTGTGAAAATGAATGTGGGGTCACTACTGTGATCAGTTTAATTTTTATTTTTATTTTTTGATCTCATTCAATTGAATAAAAAATGTATAAAACAAAATTTCAAACTCAATATCATATTTTTTTATTTTCAGTTTAAATAATATAATCTTTTTATTTATTATTTTAGAAGCAATCTACTAAACCAAAATAAAAAAAAGGTACACATCTTAACATTCAATGAAAATGCATGGATTTTTTTTTAATAACAAAAAGAACCTTTATTGATGAAGAAAATGCATGGATATCTTCTAACATTTCAATATATTATAGAGAGCTCTTGATATTTGGAAGCTATATCATAAACACCATTTAACATTTTAGTTAGATCATATACACTCATGTCATTTAGCAAGAATACACAAACACTCATTAACATTTTAAGCAAGGATCATAGGTACATCCTAAACATAAATAAATGTGTTAATATTAATTAAATTACTTATGTGTATTTCTATATATACATACATATAAAATTATGAATAAATTACAAATACAACTCCTATAAGATTAATTAAAAATGTAAAAGTTTTCCTTACATTTAAGAAATTACATCACATGCCTTGAGATTTTCAATCACATAACAAATTATTCCCTCTATTAATTGACCGTTAAGTTAAACTAACAGTGTATATGAGGTAAGTAACAATTTTTATTTTTATTTTTATTTTTATAAATATTTATATCAACCTTTATAAAGTTAAAACACTTTTATTTTCTTCTTCCATCTCACATTTCTTATTCGTCATTTTCTTTCAACTAGTGATCTACTACTTTGCTCAACCATTGCACCATCAACTCCCACTCAACCAACACCACCGTCATTATTATTTACAAGCATTTGGTGCATTGCCGAGGAGAGTTGAAAGTGTTGTGATAGTGTAAAGAGAAATTTGGTAATGGGTGAATGAAAATAATAGTATGATAATTTTATTTCGTTATTCGAGGGTATTTGCCTTTTTTTTTTTTTTAGGCCAGTTGTAAGAAAAATTATGACAAGAAAATATTTGTAATTTTCAAAACGTAAGGGGAAATATGTATTTTTGACAAACCTCTACAAATGTATTTGTAATTTACATTCAAATTATTTTGAAAATGTATTGTGACGCTTATAATGTAAAATCATACTTTTAGTTATATCATGCTATAAAAATATAACTTGAATTAATGAATTTTATTTTAAATTAATTTATTTATGTGTACAACTATATAAATAAGCATTTATTACATTTATTTGTAATAGATTAATAAATAAAAATATTATATTATTACAAATATTTTCCTACCACAAACAGATGAGAAGAGACCTTGAAGGAAAAAAAAAATTAAAAAAATGGCGCAGTTTAAGGATCAACAGGGAACAACAGCGAGAGTCACAACCCACCCAAAAAAAAACAGCGGGAGTCGTACACAACAGTGATCCCGCATCCATTATCCTAATAGGAGATGGTGAGACAATTTGCAAGATAATGTGTAACAATCAATCATATAATGCCATGCACAAAAGATAATAGGGTGTAATTTCTAGTCTCTTATCCCCATATGCCATGTGTATTTTATGAGTGATATACGATTGGTTCAGTTTCAACAATTTTTTTCTTTTCCAAGCCGATGATGATCGATCATTGAATTTTCAAACACCTTAGAACTGCTTTCGGCCATGTGAAGTTGAACAAAACCGTCTGCGACTGTTCAGATCAGTTCGGTTTGGTTGATTGACTTCAATATCACGGATTTTTAAACAACCCTAGTTGCAACTGGATATTTATTCAAGGTCAAGATTTGTTGGATTTTTGGCAAAATGTTCATTCCCAATTTAATTCAAGTTGGTGTTCTATTTCCTAATTGGAATAGAATTTGTGAGTAATCTTATTTAGTCAAACTTAAGACTTGGTTTTGGATTCCATATTGGTTTAGATTTATGAGAAATTTATTTGCCTTGGATTAGACTTCTTCAAGTTGTTGGATTTAGTGTTTCATAATTGTTTTTGGATTGGATGGGAAGAAAATCTATTTTGTTTTGAGTTAGCTTTAGGAACAATTCTGGCTATAAATAAGTAAAGACTCATTTATTCAACTGAAGTTTCTAGTTCCATTGCTTGGAGTACCCTCTTTGGAGAGAGGCCATTGACCTTTTGGGAGGTATTGCACTTCCGTGTCACAATTAATGCCCCCTCCATCTCCGTTTGATGAAATAACGGAGATGTCCATTTTGCCTCAGCCCCATATAAAAACCCATTTCGTGGATTTGCCCAAGAAGCACAGGATAAAACCCAACATCATCTTCTTCCTCGTTCTCGTGCGTAACAGAGACCCAATTTGCAATTTTCCGACTTGCTTCAACCCATCTTTTGAACTCCATAACTTTCTCGATTCTTAACGGCTTTACTTCATTCTTTTGCCAACCTTTTGACCTTACTTCGTACTTAATCTTATGCTATCTCGCCTTCTCGATTCTTAACGGCTTTACTTCATTCTTTCGCCAACCTTTTGACCTTACTTCGTACTTAATCTTATGCTACCTCACCTTCTCAGTCCTCCCTGAAATGGATTGTTTCGGCATGCCGAAAGTAACCAAAAAACCAACTTAAAAAATTCCAAAAACCTACCTCTTTTGTTTCTTTCTCCTCCATCTTCTTTCTACCTCTTCGCCTATAACACGTTGTCAAGGGTGGTTCTTGTTATGTAATGATCTGATTTCAATCACACAATAAATAATAGCGAGAAAAACAATCACACACAAACACAAGATATACGTGGTTCCGCGGGATGCCTACGTCCATAGCGGAAAAACAATCAAAATTCACTATATGCAATAAGGATTACAAATCACTCCGCAGCTCTATCTGTTTCCTCTAACCCTAAAACATATAAACTGAAACAATTCACAAGATATATCACAACAGTTCTCAATTTTGACAGAGCGGGCGATGGTGGTAGTGGCTGTCCAACGGTGGTGACGGAGCTCGAGTTGATGGTGGTTGTGGAGCTTGATGATAGTGGTGTTAGAACTTGGTTGAAGTGGGTTTGGTGTTGAAAGATGGCGATGATGGTGCTTACGGTGGTGGTGATGGAGTTGAACAAGTAATGAAGAAGAAGAGGGAAAAAGGGAGCTCTGGGAGAGAGAGTGACAGTAGGTAGAGATGGATAGATGTAAATATGTATATATAGATATATATAGATGCATGCATATATGTAAATATATATATATATATAGATAGTTGATACAAGGGAGCCGAGAGGTAAGGGAAAGACTACAAGGGAGGGATGGTGAGGGACTTGGGCAACAAGAATGGGGCTGGGTCAAAACAATGCCGTTTTGGATGAAAATTGTGCAAAAAATAATGGTCTCCGATACTTCATCAGATGGAGATGGACGGGCCGTTAATTGTGACACGTAAGTATATTAGAGTTTTAATTATTAAAATTAAAACCCTCGTGTTTAAATTCAAAAACATTTGAAACCCTAGAATTTGTTTTTGTAATTTGTCTAAAAAAGTTTCATTTCAAAAGCAAATTAAGAAAAATTTAAAAACTTGAAATTTCAATTTTCACTTTCATCAAGTTCATTATTAAATAATATATCTTTCATTTCTCGTATATCAAGTAAAAAATTTTCAATTCCAAGTAATAAGAACTCTCTAATAAATTAAATGTATCTCCATTAATGCCTTATAATTTGGTATAACCCTAATATACTTATCTCATACAAACGAAGTACTCATGGAATACCTAATTGTCAAAAAAATGTATAAAGTCTACTCGACACGTATGCCGAATACGTAGTACACTTATAGCCCAATTAGTACACGTATGGTAACATTTTCGGAGTATCCATACTTCACAAGTCTTAACAAAAAATTCTTCAAATTTAATCTAATCCAAAATGAAATCAAATATATGATTCTTATTCTCATTAGAAAATTTTTATTTTACAAGTAAAGGAATAGAGACAATCGATTGTTGAGATTTGAACTTGCTATGTTTCTTGGTGATGACCTAGACTCAAACATGGATAAGCCATTTTAGAGAGAAAAATTACAGCATTGTGATATGCTTTTAATTGCTTGGATGACGTGTTTTGAAGTGATTGGCTTCCCACAAATTACGAATAAAGATTGTTTGTAGAATTAAATTTTTTTAGTCACTTTTCAAGTTTATACAATGAGGCTTTTACAAAAAAAAAAAAAAAAAAAAAAAAAGAGAAGAAAGAAAGAAGAAGAAGTAGTAATAAAAGTTAACTTTTTCTTATAGGGACTGTTTGATTAAAATTGTGACTTCTCAAATTGGCCTAAGTTGCATTGAGCTTAAACCTATGAAACACAAGTACGTGCACGAGTTAAAACTTTTTAAAAGAAAGTACAGATAAGGTTTGGTATTTTTGTAAAAAATATTTATTTTTAATTTAGAATTATAAAAAAATTAATCAAAATGATTTAATTTATTGATATTCAACCTACGGTTCACATTTAATTCAAAAGTGGAGTTATAAACGAAAATTGAATATCATTATATTAAATAACTTACAAACCATAAGAAAGTGTTTGGGTGTGTAATTGTAACGACCCAATCTTGGCAAGGCAAAATCCCGCCAAGAGGGTGCACCTCAAACGCTATAGCACCTTTACACCACAATTCCTGTATAAATCTTACATCACATCACCACATCACCAAAAGTGCATAAGACCTTTCAATTGCCCAACATATATGAGATGATCTATTCAAAGACAAAAAGTATTATCATGCTACAAGATAGTTCCCAAGCAATTTCTCCCCAAAAATAATACATACTAATCACGAATCCATCAATACATCCAACTTCATAAGCAATATTTACAATCAGCCTCCTTCATAAAAAAATAAAAGGTAAACTTACATCCTAGAATGACCCTAAGCACAACCTCAACTACAAGATGCCCACATTTGATCCTTCAAAAAAATTTTCTAGTCTTCCAAGTTGAGGCGAGCCACACAAAAGTCTATGAATCTTAAAAAAAAAAAATTATTTAAAAGAATGAGTTAAAGCCCAATGAGTATACCAATACCATGGAGTTATAAAACTTGCTCCTTCCAATTGGGTTCAAAATAAAGATAATAAACAAAAGAGCTTAATTGGACTGAAATTTATACAAAATAAAAATAAAAATAATGAAAGTAAACAAAAATACAACTTTTCAATACGTTAAGATTTCATGTCCATCATACGAACCACTACATAGCCTTAGGGTCGCGTTACCTCGCGACTTAGGTGGTGACGGTACCGTTACCCAAAACATAACCATATGAACATAACTCATGTCAACGTAGCACTTCAATTCTCATTTCAATGTTTCGGTCCCCGGGACCCCTTATATATACAACGACCCTTATGGTCCTTAAAACATTTCGGTCCCCAGGACCCCAAAGCATTTTGGCCCTTGTGGCCCCAAAGGCAATATTTGGTTATATGATCAAAACAAAAAAATACCCTTGTACAATGTTTCATTGTCATTCAATCATCATCATCATCATAAAATTTGAAGGACTCAACTTAAATAAATTCTCAGAAAAAAATTAGTGCTTCATTATACAAATGAAATCATATATTTATTTAAACTCAACCATTGGCCTCAATAGATTTATAGATTTATAGATTTTTCTTTTTATACATATACAATGATGAAATGTATCATTCACTTCCTTTAATTCAAAATTATCTTCAAACTTTATAATAAAGATAGAGGTAAGATAATTTCCATGGTAAGTATACTCACCTCCAAAAATAGCAAAAGCGTAGATTGAGACTCTACAAATTAATTCCCAAGAGGTGTAGAGACGCCTTCCTCCAATCCTAACAATTAATAAATAGGACCTGTACGGGGAGGAAATAATTCTCCTCGTATAATCCTGTTGACCAAGTCCACGCTTCTCCGTATGACGTCGCTTTGTCACCTGAAAACACAAACGTGAGCTAGCCGGCGGGTGTGTGCCGGAAACCTCTCCGATGCCTAAGTCAGAAAACTTGACAAATAGACAAAGCTCTATGTTCTCAGAAAAATTGTGTTCAATTTACCTCCTCCAAGGTGATGTTTGTGAGCTTTTATAAGTTTCCAATGGCACAATCCTACTAGGACTTGTACTTCTCCATGCAGAGTCCTCCTAGGATTCATACTCCTAAGGATAATGCTTATCCTTTTACACCCTCCCCCACTGCTTAAACCAAGTGGGATGGTTTTTACCACGGCCGAATTTCTATGTGACCGAAATAACAGTGGCTATGCTGAGCCACAGAGTAGGCCGAACTAATAGTAGTTTGGTTCTTCTTTATGCTACACCATATCTCGGTTTTCTCATACACAAACCGTGGTGTGTTTGGACCGATCTACTGAATAGCAACATTCCGACCGACCTACCCTGAATTCATAATGACCGGACTACCTTTTGAGACCGGACTAACCCAGATTGTCCAAACCGAAGCAGCTTTACAACTCCTTAGAACCGGAGTAAATCTATCGTTCTTGAACCGGAGTAAATTTAACAGCTTGGGCCGAAGTGGCTTTTATCTCTCTTGGGCCGGAGTAACATTTCGGCCTTTTTACCCAGTTCTTGGCGTTTTGGGCCACAAAGTCCATCTCACAGCTCGGCCCAATTTTTACCAAAAATTACCCTCTCAATTGCCCCTTAATTCTATCTGCATAGCATGATTGGGATTACCAGTCCACCAGCCGAGTTGGCGTCGTTTCAAGCTTTTCCAGCTGAGCTAAAAAATTCCTTAGCTCCTCCAGCCGAGCCAAAAACTCTCGAACTTTTAAGCCGAGCTAATTTTACTCCGGGCTCCGTTTCGTCCGGTCAAAAATGTCTCTTCAATCATAGTGTCTGTAACGCTTCCCATTCTAGTGACACGTGGCAAGCTCTGATAAGCTGTGGCCAACTGTTACGCCGCCTTGCAGAAATTTTGTACAGTTCCCGCGACTTTTTGCCGCTCGTCCTTTTCACAAAACATCCCTTCATCTATTCACTCACACTTTTCATATTCTTCTCTCTTCGTGCCTCTGCCTTCTTGCCGTTCGTGCTCTGCAACAGTTTTCATCTTCAGTCTCTTCTTCACCAATCTAGTAAGCAAATCTACTTTCCTTTTTACTCTGTTTTGCTTTCGCATCTGTATATCTTAACCGGAGTAACCACACCTCTCCTGGGCCGGAATAACTTCACTTCTCCTGGGCCGGAGTATCTATACCTCTACTGGGCCGAAATAACATTACGGCTTCTTACCGATTCCTTCACACTTTGGGCCGCAGGGCCCAACTCACAGCTCGGCCCAATTCTTTCCCAAAAATTACCCTCTCAATTGCCCCTTAATTTCATCTGCAAAGCATGATTGAGATTACAAATCCTTCAACCGGGCTGAAGTTCTACAAGCCTTTTCAGCCGAGATAAAAACCCTTCAGTGTATCCGGCCGAGCTAGTTTTACTCCGAATTCTGCTTTATCCGGTCAAACGTCTCTTCAATCACGACTGTAACGCTTCCCTTTCCCTAGCCACGTGGCGGGCTCTGATAGGCCGTGAGCTGTTATCACGCCGCCTTCGTACTTCAAACTTTTTGAACAGTCCCGCCCCTTTTTGCCGCCTTTTTCTCTCCCCTCTTTCACAAAACAACCTTTCTTTTTCTTGAATCACTTCACCTTCCATTCTTCGTCTCCTCTCTCTGTGTTCTTGCTGTTCGTGCTCTGCAACAGTTTTCATCTTCAGTCTCTTCTTCACCAATCTAGTAAGCAAATCTACTTTCCTTCTTACTCTGTTTTTCTTTCGCATCTGTATATCTTGTTTTGTATGTTTTTTGCAAACATTTTGTTCATTTCTGGTTTGCTTCTGTATTTTCACAAAACAATAGAGCTCATATATGCATGAACTTCTGTAAAAAACTTGCTTTAGATCCAAAACTAGGTAGCAACCGAACCAGGATCCTGTTTGCCCCAAATAGGTAGATCACTGTGGCCAATAACCGAACTAGAACTTGAAAGTTTCAAAGGGTTACCAAAGTCTGACTCACTTTAACCGAAATTAGGTCACCGAGCTTTGAATACAGCAAACTAGGAACCTCGGTTGTCAACCAAACTAAGCTTTTGGGGCCAGGCTGGCTTTCTTGGTTCCTAAACCGAACTCAGAAAGCCGCCCCTAGAGGCCTAACCGAAGTAACTCTATTCACACTGCAACCGATTTAGGCCTTGGGGCTAAACCAGCTTTCTTAGTTTTTTATACCGAACTCAGAAAGCTGCCCTTAGACGTTAAACCGGTCTACCGAGCAAACTGCTCAAACCGAGCTTACCAAAGCTGTTGCCAAGCCGAGATATCACCCGTCCTCAAAACCGAAATACGGCGATTTTACCTTGTTTTTAATTTGTAGCACGGTCTATGATCTGTGCTTAACCCCTTTGTTTTCTACTTTGCAGACTTAGGTTACCCTGGCATTCCCTCTTATGCTCAACCGAGCTACTTGAGTCCAATCTTCCGACCGAACTAACTTATTCTTAATTTATACCATAAACGGGTAAGTATAGGTATTTAGTTGAGACCCCTGGTGGTATGGCCGAATTCCAAAGGGATTATGGCATTCCAGACGATGTACAACTTACCCTAGCAAAAAAGGACATCATTCCATGGGGCGAAACAGGCTTCGTGCCTTTTACCCTGCTCTCTATAATAGAGACCGGACTAAGGTTCCCAGTCCAACCTTTAATCTGCGAATTCCTTAGGCAAACCAGACTATGCCCAACCCAGCTATCCACCAATACATACCGGATAATAATGGGTATAGCCGAGCTAAATCGCCAAGCCGGCCTGAACCTCGGTTTAGCCGAAATCTTCCACCAGTACTCCATAGGTTCCAAAGAAGACGGCTGGGTTTATTACCTTAGGATACGCCGCCGTAGAGAAAAGATAATACAGGACACGCCGGATAAGGGCGTTAATGATGACGACTTCTTCTGGGTATCGGGCAATTTTGAAGATCAGCAAGCCCGAATCCCAGGCCGAAGTATTAACTGGAATAAAGGAAAACCTGGTAAAGTTTACTTCGGTTTTATGTATTTTTTTTTACTTCGGTCTCCGCTGTCATAACCGACCTAACAGTTGTATCTTTTTTGCAGACTTAGCTCATCTTGCTTCTTATTACAGTCGCCCACATCTGAACACACTCCGAGCCGCACTACGGATTAAAGAAAGAAGTTGGGCCAAACTTCTAAGCTTTGAACCGACCTACCGATATAGCGGTCGTCGAAAGGCCCGAGTGACCGATTTCCTTCTTGAGGAAGCACCAGAACCGGACCCAAGCTTGCCCGAAATACGACTTGTCCCATTAACTGCTGAAGAAGAGATGGCAAAGAAAAGCAGAGTTAGGGCCCTTCTGACTGCCACAACCCGGGCCGAAGTACCACCAATTACGGAGGCGTAGCCTGCCATTGTGGCCCTCCCTTCTCAACGGCCTTCTTCATCTCGCCCTTCCAAACGCGCCCGATCTACATCGACCGAACAGCAACTTGTCGATGAGGTTGAAGTCATTCCCCAGAGTCCTCAACCTATCCTCCAACCGGAGCAAACTGACCGAGCAGAAACTCCGAAATGGGCTCCGCAGCTAACCTTCAACGACCGAGACATCAAAGCTTCTGATTCGGTTGTTGCTGAAAAAGATCATCTATTGGCTTTTAATCTGGCCAAAAGTGTGTGCCTCCCCAAGGACATGGAGCACCACCTTAAGCAATTGAACACCGAGATGAAGTCCATCCGGTCAACATCGAAGTCCATGATTTTGGTAAGTAAGTGTCCGTTTTTTCTGTTCAAATTTTCCAATCTTTCACTCCGGCTCAAGATATTCTTCGTTTTGTCAGGCCTTACAAAAGAACAATATTACTTACAAGAAAGTCCAAGAACTAAGAAAAACCACAAGGCAAGCAATGACGGAGGCCGAGGCAAAGGCGGCCGAACTAGAGGAGGCCGAAAAGAAAATGACCGAACTACAAGCAGAGAACGACCGACTTGCCGATCTGGTTAGCTCGGCTGAAGCTGAGAGGCAGAAAGCGGCCATTGCTATGAAAGACAAATATTTGCGAGAGCTGGTAAAGCTTGAGAAGAGAAAGGATACTGAAATCAGCCAACTAAAAAAGAGCATGGAGGGAGCCGAAAAGCAGGGTTACAAGCAGGGTTACAAGAAGGCAGAAGATGCCTACGTCAAACAGTGCGACGCTGCCAAGGAGCTCTTTTCAAGTGTGGCTGGAGGGCGGCTGTTGAGAAGCTCGGTCATGATCAACAGACCGAGGTCTTCAACCCTCCAGACTACTTTATACCGAAGTCCCTGGCGGAGTATGCCGATGCCCTGCAACAAGAGTTTCTGGAAGAGTCAGATTCTGATGACTCCTCTGCTTCCGAAGACGTTCCGGTTGTTAGTGCAGACCCATCACTTCGGTTGGAGCCCATGGTAGAGGACCCACCTATTGAGCAGCCAAGTGACACCGTGATTCCAACCGAAACCAACCCGGCGACCGAGCGTGAGCTTCCCCTTGAAACCGGTCTTCAAGTTGATGGTGATGCGGCTTTTGACGCCGAAATACAAGATCTCTTTTCTTGACTTTGTACTTTTCTTTTTATTGCCTTTTTCCTTTGTAACCGGGCTGCGGCCCCTTCTTTGTATTTATTTTGAACTTTTAATGGAATGGAAGTATGCTTGAACTCTTGCTCCGGTTTTGATGTGTATGCTTACACTTTGTAATGCCTTCCATTTACTCTTATTCCGATTTTGTCTTGTTAGACTATGCTTACTAGCCAACCACTCCTTAGCCGACATAATGACCTCGGCTG